GTAGGCCGCCCCGGCCGCGGGCTGCATAAAGAGGCCGCGGGGGGGGTGGGCGGGGAGAAGGCCCCTCCTCCCATGCGCCGAAGCAGACAAGGGCGCGCCCGCCTCCCTCTGCCGCCCCACCTGCCCGCAATGGGCCGGGGGTGGAATGCGGAGGTGGGGCGCAGAGTCGGAACCGGCACAGGCTAGGCGTGACGGGCAGGGCCCCTTGTTCCCGCTGCCGCTCTGCTCCAGAGAGTCGGGGGGAAGAGCCAGGCCTTCATTTGGAGAGGCCATCTCCCCCCCCAAGGAACTGAATTCCCTTTGACCCTCCCCCTTGTAGTACTGGGTTATCTTGTGTTGGGGGGGGCTCGCAAGAGGCTGATGCCATGCCAGCAGAGATGGAAAAAGCCACTGGCCTCGCCTGACCTCCCAGCTTCCATTCCTCCAGTGGCAAAACTGGGTTGATTTGGTCAGAAGTAGCCTAATTTTTTTCTTAGAGGTTGTTGGTTTTTTTTGAAGAGGGGGGAATAAGTCAATGTAGTTTACAGCTTGTTCCTGGGACTGTCCTAAATCTAAACTCAGCATTCTGGTGCTGAGGCTTTCCCCTCTCCTCTCCCCGGGTAGGGCGGGTCTTAGAAGGGTTTCTCTCTCTCTTTGCTCAGAGACCAGTGCAATAGGGGCAGCTGAAGTGTTACTCGGCTGCTGGGCATTGCAGGAGGAGGCCTGGCTCCTGGCGAAGGTGCGGGCAGATCCCTCCGATCTCCAGGTCGTAAGGGGCTTGCAAGCAGGGGAAAGGCACTCAACGCCCTTGCTAGGCCCTTCCCAGAAGGTCTGTCATGAGGGCTCCCTCCTGGCCGTTTCCTTCCCCCCTGCCCACCTCCTGCCATCCTGGGACTCTTTGCTCTGCTTACCTTCCAGCTGGCCCCTGGAAGAGCAGCCGGGCATTTTGGAGGGAATCAGGAACATCAGCAGCGAGATGAAGATGACCACGGTGGCATCCGTGACGTAACTGTAAGGACAGAGCCCAGCATCAGTCAGCCCCCTCCGGTTGACACGGGCTGGGGAGGAGAGGCCATTTCTGCCCAAGTGCCGGGGGGCCGCAGCTGCCTCAGACGTAGCCGTGGGGGAACCAAAGGCGGCTTCTCCAGAGCTTGGGGGCTCCGCTCGCTCAGGGGCCTCCGCCCCGCATTGCCTCCCACACGGGCCGCTCTCTCACCTCTTCCCCTTGTGGCTAAAGGCGGCACTTGCCCAACCGGGCATGAAGCCGGGCTCCCTCGTGAACCAAAGCACCACCAAGGTGATAAAGAGGACGAGGACAGCCACCTCGGAGAACTTCATGCGGCCCAAGGACTGGTACTCGCTCTTGATGATGTCGTACGCCCTGGCAGACTTCAGCCGCTCCGACTCGCTGGTGCCGCAGCCAAAATTCTTCCTGAAGCTGAAAGGCCAGAGGGGGAAAGGATGCGACCCCGGAAGGGCCACTTGGGGTGCTGGCCTCAGCAGGAGGTTCCCTGGGCCAGCAGGGGCTCTCTCCACCTGCTGGTTCTCTGGGCCAGTCAGGCTCTCTGGCGGGAAGCCGAGTCGCCTTGGCCCAGCATCTTTTGGTGACGGAGAGGCCAAGTGCTGCCTGAGGGCCCCCCGGGCCCCCCAGGTCACCTGTCCCTCAAGCCCCCTGGGCAGAAGGAGAACCCTCCCGCCCATGCCAGAAACTCACTCCAAGCCCAGGAACAGCAGCAGCAGCCACAGCCAGGAGACGCTCAGGAGCAGCACCATGGCGGGGAAGGCGAAAGTGAACCAGGAGGCAAAGTTCACCACGTTGTTGTTGCGGCAGAAGAGCCTGGCGAGGAGAAACCAGCTGTCACTTTGGCCAGCGGAGCCTTTCCTCTGCAAGTGCGCCCCACCCAGCTTCTTCCCCCCAAAACTGTCTACGGGTCATACAACGGCAGTGCCAGAAAATGCGCAGCCCTGAGTTGTCCACGGCCCTTCCGAGGCTGGGCAAGCAAACAGCTGGTGTGGCGCAAGAGAAGCTATTAAAAGGAAGGACGCACACCCGCCCCGCACACATGCACCACACAGTCACACACACACAGTCCTGGGGGAGCGGCGGGGTCTCATCTCCAGAAGTGAAGGATCGTCCACCCTTCAACAAAGGGGCTTGTGCTGGCAGGCAGAGGCCGGACAGTGTGAAGGAGCCACAGGCAGCTGTTTGGGAAGAAGTGATGGGGAAAAAGGGTGGGGAGACCCTTCTGGAGTCTCCCCTGAAACTCCGAGAAAGAGACGCGGAAACTGGCAGCGGCCAGAAAGACCTGGGGACGTGGGAAAAAGGGTGGAAGCAGACCCCGTGCCTGGGTGGCCGGGGACCCCAGGGCCGGTGCAGAGACCCTTACTCGTCCATCTGCCCCTTCATCACCAGGTTGGGGGTGGTGCCCGTCAGGGTGGCGATCCCGCCGATGCTGGCAGAGTAGCAGACGGCCAGGCTCATCCCTTTGCAAAACGTCTCGTGCTTCTGCTGCAGCTGGATCTGGTCCTCCTGCAGCTTCTGCCCAAGTTGCTGCTGCTCCTCCGGCACCTTCCCCTTTGCCACCACCTGCACTAATATATATATAATATGTGCGTGTGCTGCGTTCGCAGTGTTTTCACAAGAGGGGGAGAAGGTCCCTTGAGCAAGCTGGGCATGAGCAAAGAGGGAGGAGGGCAGGCTGGGTCTCTCGGGCAGCAGGCAGTGGGAGACATGCTGGCCCTGCTCTGGTCCCAAGGCAGGACGGACCGCGGAGCTTCCAGCTTCTGGGGGGGGGATGCCAGGAGCCCCCTCCTCACACACAACGAGAGGGCGCATCCGTCCCCCGCTGATGCTCACCCAGATTCAGGCTGGAGGCCTTGCCAACGCCCAGTAGTGGAGACACTCAGCGGGCATCCGGTCCAGCTCTAAAGAAGTCCTCTTGATGCCCACGGACATCCCTCGGGGCCTCCCAGTAGCCTGGCCACTCAGACAAGGAGGGTGGCGGAGCCCGCTGCCTTCCTCAAGGCCACCCGGGGCACAGGCGGCAAGGATTGCGATCATTACGGTTGCTTAGGTTATAGGATGCCCCGGTCTATACGATTCGTCATCCCGGTTCCTGGCTAGATGAGGAATTGGGTCTCCTTGTCTGTTATAGAGTCTCACATTGGGAGGGGCCTTGAGGCCCCCAGTCCACCCCCTGCTCGTGCAGCAATCCAAATTAAAGCGCCCCAAAAGATGGTGGTGGCGCCTCCCCAGAAGGAGAACCGCTCTCACTCCTTTCTCGCTGCTTGGTTTTGATGCCAGGCTGGGGCTGGGGGGACCCCGGTTCAGCCCACCCTCCGCTCTTGGGGTGGCTTTGGGCCAGTCCCTCTCTCCCCGCCCGACCCGGGGCCTTGTTGTGGGGAAAAATGGAGGAGGGAGCACGAGCACATCTCCCTGAGGTCCCGTAGGAAAGGCGGGAAGTAACTTTAACCCACCAGTAAAGAAATAACCCTCCACTGGAGTTTGTGTTCCCGTAAGCTGAGGCGTTACGCTGTGTCCTCCCCCCTGCAGTCACAGAGGACAGGTCTTGACGCTCTTCTGGATGGCCTCCATTTCGATATTTGAAAATGCCGGCCTGTCCTGCCCCCCCCCCAGCTTTTCTCGAGGCTGAACATCAGACATCCTCTCAGTTTCTCCTCATTCCCAGTCCGCAGGGTCACCACACTGCTCTTCTCTTAGAGTGTTCCCGGTTCTCGGGCTCTTTCTTAAAATCGGTACCCAAAACGGGACGTAGCACTTAAAGTAGGCTTTGAGAGCCGAGCAGAAAGGGAGCCAGGGCAATGCTCCTACTCGGAAAGGACAGGCTGCTGACCTGCAGCGCACGTTGGGTGAGCGGGCACGGGGGCATTCGTAACTCGTTTTCAGTATCCTTGCTTCCTTTTCACTCATGCTTCTCTTGGGCACTAACCTTTACGGCATCCGTTCCAACTCCACTCTTACGACAAATCGTTATGTGCTTGAACAGATCTCTAAACTTTCTCCCATTGTTTCTGCCCACCGCACAGATCTAGCAGGGGGGCACGCTCTGGGCCCCTTCCGTCAAGCCATGCCCCCTTATGGGACCGAGTCATGCCTTCTCTGTGGCAGCACCTGCCCTACGGAGCACCATCCCCCCCCCCCCGAGACTCTCCGGGTGGCCCCGACCCTGCTAGCCTTTAGCAAGACGTTGCTGTTTCCTCAGGCCAGGTGGTTAGTGTGCTTTTTCTCTGTGTGTGTGTGTGTGTGTGTGTGTTATTGTTTATCCTTAAGCCTAACCCTTGGGTGCTGGGGGTTAGGACTTCTGGGCTTTTCTGTGCTTTAATCCTTGTAAGCCTCTCACTTGTGTGAGATGGGGTATAAATCAAATGAAAGAAAGAAAAAAAGAAAGAAAGAAAGAAAGAAAGAAAGAAAGAAAGAAAGAAAGAAAGAAAGAAAGAAAGAGAAAGAAAGAAAG